TCAGCGCTTAAAAATAGGTCCTAGCAAAGCAATTTGTACAAATATTTTGATCTATTATTTTAAATAGAATATTGCAATTGACCAAAGAAAGAATATTAATTCCTTCCTTACATAATACATAAGATCTACTTATTTCCATATTGTTTTGCTATTTCTTCACCAAACAAAATTGTCTGCAAATTATTCGCAAGGGCCAACTAGTTATTAATGTAAAACTTTAAAATTAATGACTTTGTCAGAATTAGTTTTATGATTATAGTATACATAAATTACAAGATTACATTAGCATAATTTAATGTATAGATGTATTTTTAAATATCCTGTAATTAAAATCAGAGAGCATAGAAGAAAAAAACTTTGCTTCAATTTTTTGCCACATGAGTCATTTTATTCAACTTCAATATGCATACATTTTTTTATACAACCTATTAATTCTGCTTCAATAACTTACATCACATGATTATTCAAGAATTTTTGTAAAAAAAATGTTGATATTATTTTATTGTTAAAAATGGCCCAATGAAATTTCATCAAATTCCTAACCGTTATCTAGAAGATAAAACAAGATTTTTCTGTTGATCATAAATTTCTCTTGGTCAACAAGATTTATCATGAATTTATAATTCATTTTCCTCTTTATATCAATTAAAAAAAATGTATATAAAGTTTAGGATTATTGATTATCAGTATTCATGTGTGGGATTTAATTTTTACCATTACTCATGCAAAAATAAAATAAAATGTAAAAATATCTATTTTTCAAAAATTTCTCATTGATGGCTAAATGAAAAATAATTTAGACTTATTAAATTATTTTTATGTATCTAGAGATAATCCAGTCTGTGAGAATTGTAGGATATAGAGATATACTTTCAAATTTCGGAAGGTATATATATAGTTCAGAGACTGGAGTTATGTGGTTTACAAAGATGAAATACCGAGTTTTTTATTGTCTACGTTGATATAATTAATACAGTTTTTGTTATTTTAGTGGTCTTAATGATTTGTTGGCTGTAAGCTTTAAGACATAGCTCCGTTAAAAGTGAACTTCAAAATTGTGAAAATAATTTCTATTTAAAATAGAGAGGTAAGTGAAAGTTGTGTGTTGCTTGCACTAGATTTTTTAATATTTATTTTGGCAATAATCAATGAACATACAACCTCAACCAGATAAAGTACGTTTCCTTGGAAAAGAAATGATTAAACAAGCAATTGAAAAGACTACTCTTTTTTTTTCAAAATAAAAATTGAAATTATGATTAAATCATTGTATAAAAATTAAATTCATGCATATACCTACTTAAGCCCATATGGACATACTATTCACTGATGGATAGACGCACTTACAAAAACTACCATCCATTCAATCAAAAATTTTAAGACTAATAATAGCAGTACCCTGGTACATAAACAACAAAACTTTACTTGTGACAACAAACTATGGATCAACACGTCACGTACTCGTTACTCCTTATTTTGTATTTAACTGTAGGGACACAACATCCGACACAAACAACACGGCTGACATGCCCATCAGGAAGCAAGTGAAAAGGAATCGGATGAGAGATCTTTCCTGCTATTGCTATGTATTTAACAACAACAAATTCATCTGGTGATTGTCACATTCATGACATGTGCGTTTGAAATTTTAAAGAGAAAAACAAATTATATTTATTTTTCCTGTTTAAAAGGGAGCTGCTGTCCAGGTTTTCCGTTCCCCTTAATATTTATCTTGGTAATCTCAGTGTTAACCATTAAACAAATTTTAGGGGTCTGAAGCTATGGATTTATTTATTTTACTGAAACTATTATTGCAGTTTTCCATTTTTTTTTTTAAATTTAATATTTTTAAAAGTTGTGCATAGTATCCTTTATTTGAATAATGTTTCCATTAGATTATATCTTATTTTTTTATACTGATCGTTGAGAAAAATATAAATTGTAAAATTCCCTATACCGCACTACCTTCAACCAAAAAAAAAAGAAAAATAAGTAAGATATGCTAGTACATGACAATTGATTAATTCTGATACTATTACAAATACAATAATCAAACAATATTTTTGCTACAGCTAGCTACGATATGATGAAGGCCATGCAACAGAACTGGCAGGACCTTACCTTTAACAAGTGTGATCACACACCGAGGCACAAAGAGAACGTCGCCAGGCCTGGCTCCAACAGTATCTGCAAGGTAATATAGACTGATACTTATCACCAACATGCATATAATTATTACCATCATATTTATTTTTTTCATTATATAATATTTTTTATCAATTTATTTATAATTTTTGTTTAGTAATTGGTTTATATATTATTTAATTATAAACATATTTTATGCTTTTTAGATCAATCAAAAATAATTTTTAAAAGTTGTGGTTTATTAAGATAAAAATATGATTTGCTCAAAATAAAGATATTGGGTTGGCATATGAGTCATTTTGGATTTTCTGTTTATTTTTATGGTCATACCATACACTTTTATCTAATGAATTAATCCATAAGGTGGATTGTTTATTATATTTGTAATATGTCAACATTTCTGTTAACTCTTGTTTAAATCTGGTTAGTTTAGTGTTTGCTATTGGACTGTGAATATAGAAGAAAATATTATTCATAATGGAAATATTAAGCTGTATTATTTAAAAAAAAAATTAAGTATGCTGCAGAAGCCCATAAAAAAATTTGCAAATTATGGAGATGATGCCTTAACTGAACGCACATGTCAAAATTGATTTGCCAAATTTAATTCAGGAAATTTTGAAATCAATGATACTCCTGCACAGAAGAAATTGAAATGACCAATGCTTAGCTCATTGTTAATCGAAATTCTGTCGAATCAGTTGCCCTAAATGTGTTGCACACAAGCATAGAAAACCATTTGCATACATAAGCTACCCTAGATTACTTGTCTTCTTACTTGTCTACTTTTTCACAATATCTTCACGTGTTTTCACTTAAACGTCTTAAGAAACACATATAAATCATTTATTTACTCTAGTTATTTTCTTTTATTCTTAGTTTTATTTATTTATTTATTTTTTTTTATTATATTGTAGCACTAAAATTGGTTACCTATAAAACTTATTCAGCATTTCTTTCTAATTTTATTTAGTTATTAGTATGTTATTGTTTTTTGTATCGATATTATAATATTGTAACCCTTGTACCCATCTGCTTTCCTTAATATACCCTCCGAAACTATATATATACTCACTTTATTACTTAGATTGTAGTTACTCTTTATTATAATAGGTCATCTGGCCAGATTTATTGTCAATTGGTTTAAACAATATTGTTATTCTTAAGGGACCTAGTCCCAGAATAAAGATGATTTTCTATTTCTATATTTACAGGCTTGATGTTTGGGTCCCACACTTTCTAACTGAAGTCAACTTGGTATTAATAAATCATTAAGCTTTGGATGAAACTGTTAGCCCCACTCTCCTTATTCACTTTAGCAAGCTCCGAGTGACTAATACTTATCCGGTTTTTGCAGAACTCTATGAATCAAAAGCAATTTTAAAACAAGCAGGACTTCAAAAACCGTTTAGGATCAGTTTTTCTAACAATAAATCCCAGATGTTCTATGAACGTGGCACTATGAAATTAGTAGAAAGATGGGAACTGGTCCTACTAAATAATGGACATTATATTGTAGATTAAAATAAATATTATGTCTATAATACATCAATTTTATTTCTACTTGAAAGGACTTATTTTCCAACCCAATATATTGATTTATGTAGACATTATAATTTTGTTTACATATTAAAATCATTTATACATAAAATCTCACTTATATTTACTTATTTATCTGATTTCAAGTTTATAATATTGAAATTTAAGGTTAATTATGTATTTTGCTATGAGGCAAAATAAGCTAATTCTTATACCAAAAATAATAAAACATGACCAGCCATTGCCAGAATGCAAAGCATAATCAAGAAATTATTTACTTACTTTCGTGTTCGCTAAAATTATTTCATGCTTATGGTCACATCCATTGGTCATCTAGTGATTCTAACAAAAACTTTAATTTGGGAGAGGAGAATCCATGAGCATTTCACTCATAACAATTAAAAATTTATCGTAGGTAGGTTGTTATTACTCTTTTTATCTGGCTGGAGCTTTGATTTCAAATTAAGTTGTGTTTTGGTAGTTGGAATGGAAATTGTGTTTTGGTTTCTCTCACAAAGACGCACACTTGATAAAATTAAGGCAACTAAACTATGGAACATCCAACTAAACTATGGTGGATGGTAATGTCGTGCTAAAAAACAAAAACAAAAAACAGTCCAGTAGTCTTGGGGAAAAGCTGTAGGCAGATCATTTTTTAAAATATGATTTTTCAATCTTAGATCTTGTGTTTTGGTAAAATGTTAAATTTTGAGGATGATGTGGTTTATTATTTTTTTTTTCATGGTTGAAGGTTCATCATTTGAAATAATAATTGAAAGTCAAAGATTTTGAAAAGTTTCAGCTATTCTCAATAGAATAGATTCTCATAGAAAAAAATATTAATTTAAATATGAAAGTTTAAATACAGTGGTGTGGAAAAGTCTTTGAACACACCAAATGTTTATAAAAATGATTAATATTTCATTTAAAAAGTCTTTTTCTTCTTAATTATAAATTTACTTACCCTTGAAGTCATTGTAGATTTAATATTCCTCGTCCTGTCACAAATTTCGTTACAGGAAAATATATACAGATTTCAATAGAAAAATTAATTTTTTAAAAAACTTTATTAGGAAATAAAATGTTTATCTATAGAGAGTAAAACAAAAAAGACATTATTCAAAATGTCTCCCTTTTGCTTTGACACAAGGATTTAATCTCTGTGGCCAGTCATCAATAGCAGCACCCAGCTCTTCTTGAGGAAAGCGCTGAACTGCTCGGGCCTGCGATTGTTTGATGCTTTCCAAGTTAAGGTGTGCTCTGTGGAATGCCATTCTCTCCAGTTCCGCCAAAGCTGATAATCTAGTGGGTTGAGATCAGGGCTTCGTGAGAGCCAATCCGAGGCAAAGATGAACTCTGGAATGTTCTTTTGCAGTTATTGCTGAGTTGACCTGGCCTTGTGAACTGGAGTGGAACCCTGCTGGAAAACCCAATGACTTTCAGCAAACAGTATCATTTAGAGGCTTGACAACAGGTTTCAAAATATTGTCCTTATAGTTTTTAGCGTCTGTTTTAACTCCTTTTTCTCAAAAATGGAGCTTGGTGGTGCCATAAAAGCAAATTCCCCAACAAACCATCACTGAGGAAGGGTGTTGACTTATTTCCACTCTTCTAATAAGTTCCTAGGCTTTTGGTGATTAGATTTTTCTTCAATTGTAAATATTTTCTCATTGCTATACAAAATCTTTCGTTGTGGACCATTAGTGTAACGGCCAAGGAGCACTTTGCATTTATCCTCTCTAATTTTTTTTTTAGGGAAGTCTTTGAAATGCACCCATCCTAAGGTACTTTTTACTATGCGAGCTATAGATCTGACAAAAATTTCCATTTCCCGAGACATGATTTGTTGTTTTCGAATGGGATTTCTTCTGATTCGAGCAGCCACTGCTCTCACTGCATTTGCCGTTCTCACAATGCGATGACAGCCGAGGTCTGTTACATACAGATAGGGTCTCATTATATCTACTTATAGTGCGGTACACGAACCTACAGCTGATACCCAAAGGTTTCAAAGTGTTGAAAATCTCTGACCTACATTTTCACACGACATGTATTAACGACATGGCCACAGCTGACATGCCTATCAGGAGACGACTAAAGAGGAGCTGGATGAGAGATCTCCTTTCCTGAATTGAGGAAATAAATCAAGACCAGGAAGTAGTGCTGCTGAGTAGTATTTTTTTTCCTCATGCCTAAAAATGCCACTTTTTCTTGTTAGTTACAGCACATCTGCTTATTGTCAAGCTCATGACAGGTGTGGATGAAAGTATGAAGAGAAAAAAAACAAAAAAAAACAAACAAAAAAAAAACAAAAAAAATATATATATATATATATATATATATGTATATGTATATATATATATATATATATATATATATATATATATATATATATATATATATATATATATATATATATATATATATATATATTATATATATATATATATATATATATATATATATATATATACATATACATATATATATATATATATATATATATTTTTTTTGTTTTTTTTTTGTTTGTTTTTTTATATATATATATATATATATATATATATTATATATATATTTATATATATATATATATATATATATATATATATATATATATATATATATATATATATATATAATTATACAATGTCTGTAAAATCAATTTAAAATAAACAAGATAAAAACACTTTTAAATTAAAACAATTTTATACAAATTTGATGTGTTCGAAGACCTTTTCCACACCGCTGTATTTTCAAAGACATTTTAGAATATCAGACTTATAAGAATAAAAAAAATTTTTTTTTAGTTCACAAAAAAAAATAAATCAAAAACATATTACCAAGTTCAATTTTAGGTGTAAAATTTTCAATGACAAACACAAATAAATTGAGTAAAGTTTTCAGTGTATCACAATAAATTTTGCAATGTAGAGACACAAGGCAGCTACTTCAATGCTATATGCAAAACTAAATGCAAACGAATAACATGCAGGTTTTTTTATTTATTTTTATAGAATTATTTAATCATATTTAAACAACACCCACTTATATTGTTCATTGCTAAGAGACTGAATGAACTTTCTTTTCTATTAACTATGAAAAATTTTAAAAGGTATTAGGCAGTTAATTTTTTATTCAAGTGCTCTATGAGTTATCTTTTGGGTAGTTAATATGTTTCCTTTTTCATTAACATCCTTCTTAATGATAAAAATATGTTCCTCATCATAATCTCGATCTCCATTATTGGAATTTTGTCTCCCCAGAATCAAAATCAGCTAATAGGAAATTAAAATCCTACCAGTAATATATTCTTCTCCCTTTCACACACCATTTATTGATACTTATAAACTGTTTCAATCTACAAATTATCTAGGAATGCTAAATATTTAAATAGCATAAGTTAACATTAGAAAAAAAATCACATGCCTTATTACTACAGTCCCCTTTTTTATTTTTATCAAATTATTAACATCCGCCTAAAACTTTGTGAATGTATTCATCTTATCGTAACCTACAAATTTTTTTCTACAAAAATTCTCAGAAATGGGGCGGTTTATCATTAAATTAATTAATTTAATTAAGTACTAAAAACTCATAAATATGACCTAAAAAAATATTCAGCCGTTTGGTCAAAATAATAAATAAGCCGTAATAAACCTTGTTATTTCGACATGTAGGGGATGGAGATAATGCCAAATGGCCCTAAATTTCTGTGGTCTACCTTTTTTCTCAAATTTGTGATCAAATTATTTAATGATGCAAGTGCTAAGTAAATGGGCGTTTTTGAGTTTTTAGTACCTAATTAAATCGACAAGGTTTGCCGATCTCCATATTGAAACACCAATTTTGAAAATTTCTGAAAATAAAAAAAATTTAGGTTAAAATGAGATGAAGCTATTTATGTTTTAGGTAGATATTAATATTTTTTATCAAAAGTGGTCTGTACCATTGACTATACGTTTTGTCTTAAAATGTTGACTAATGTTCTGCCTCCACTATTAAATTTTTAAGAGGATCTATGCATTTTATAATTGACATTGACTCTAAAATAAGGTATTCCACGAATTTTCCTAATTTTTTTAAAACGATGCCAAGACTAAATAATGTGATCATAAAATTGGATAGTGATAAAATTAGTTATAGGGTTAAGACAGATAATAGCTGATTTAATTCAAATTCAACATTATTGAATTCTTAGATGACTTATTACCTAATTTTGATTCAAAGGAATAAGGTATCGTGACATGGTTTCATAAAATATTTTCTAATCCAGAAGTTAGGAAAGACGAACTAGTTTATTTAAGTAGATTAACTAATAACAAACAGTTCTTTTTGAGAATAACTGTAATAATTATAAATTATTCAAAGTTTGAACAATAATCACTTTAAAGTACTATTTTACTAGTAGTGCTATTGTGAGTTAATGAAGATAATATTATAAAACTTCAAAGGGGATTTAATTCTGAACCTAGTAAAATGTGGCCTACTAATCAGGCTAGTGATATTAAAATACTTTTGTTTCTGTCATTGATATAATTTACATTTCTTTGCTTAATATATGTGCCGTTATTTTTGAAAGTTGTATAAGTCCATATTTTCATATATATAGGTTTGTGTTTGAATCAATTTAAATATATGGTTAGCAATTTTTTTAGCTTTAAATAGATAGACTTCACCACTTTCTGTAATAACATATTGTTTTAAATGTTCAAGTTATATTCATCTAAATAAAATTTAAATAAAACATAAAATTATAACTTTAACAATCCATCATTAATAGGACACCATAAGCTTTTCGAATTTTAAAATGTAAAAAAAATATATTAATGATATGTCGAATGGTTAATAACTTAAACATTTAAAACAACATAAAATAGAGCAATACTACCTAATAATAACTTTTTATAAAAAAAAATAAACACAAGAGGAAATTTAAGTCCATATTATTATAGTAATCGTTTTTACATAAATTTATTTTTTAAATTAAAAAAGAAATTGTGTGTTGATGGTTGACTGTAGTGAATTATTGAAGGGAAGAATGGTTGGGGCGAAAAAAGAAATTAAAATGAAAGAGGGAAATAATCAATTTTATTAAGGTTTTATTTAATTATTTTAATCGTCGTAAACCTATGACTTCCTGTCCTACAATATACTTTGATAACACCCCACTTATCCTTGTTAAACAAATCTGATATCTAGGACTCCACCTGGAAAAATGTCTCACTTGGAATCCTCATACAAGACTGAAACGACAAGAAATTGCTCGACGTTTCCGCTTACTCCAACACTTACTTGACAAACACTCTAAACTTTCAATTAATTCCAAAAGACTAATATACACGACTATTTGGACTTACGGAGTTGAGCTATGGGGCTCTACTAAACCATGAAATTCCTCTCATATCCAACCCTTACAATTCAAAATCCTTCGTAAAATCCTCAAGCTCCTTAGTTTGTCACAAATAAAATAATCCATAAAGACCTTAATGTTCCATATGTTTCCGATTTGGCCCAATCCAGGTACCTATCCTTCCATAGTAAACTTCATAACCATCCGAATCCTCTCGTTTCTAACCTTGATTCCTATTCGATTCCTAATAACCCTCAGAGACGTCTGAAAAGAAGATGGCCTCGTGATCTCCTTATATAGACATATTATTAGAGTGCTACCAGTGGGTAGTTTCTGTGTACAGATTTATTTGATGTATTTCTATTGTAATACAGTTGTAAATATCTTGAATAAATAGTTTAAAAAAAAAATTATTTTAAAAATGAAATTATTTAATTCTCAAGACATTCCAGATGTATAAAGATCAAAACTATCCTTAATTGAGACCTGAATAGTTTCCAATTCTATTTCCCAAGCTTATACAAGCATCGGTAGCCGAAACTCTAAGAAATCAATGAAGACACAATAAAATTAATCCATCCGTTTAAGATATGACTGTGGTAAAGACACAGACACACAGATCTGGCTGAGGATGCGTTATTTGAACTCATGGGAGTCTGAAATGTTATGGTTTGTAGAAAAATGGATAACAAAACAAATACAATTGGAAATAAAGAAACAAGTGAAAAAAACAAAAAATGGAACTCGTTACTGTACATTATTTATCTGAGTAGTAAGACTAGTAAAAAGAGGATACACATATCTTACTAAAAATACTATTAACTCTGTTTGTTTTTTCTAAATAATGGACTTAAAACTATTAAAAAAAGGCTCACATGTTCTCATTATAATAAATATAATCATCAAATATTATTAATTATTTTTAAAAATCTACCTGTAGATCTCCTCTGCAGATGTTGGTTCGAGTTAAATAGGTAGCAGAAACATGTCTGGCACTCCCTCCTGAAGTTCATGGCATAAGATCCATAAACGAGAGGGTTCATGCAGGAGTTGGAGACTGCCATAAGAAAAAGAGCATCTTGTATCCTTGAGTCCACTTTTGTCGCCGTTTCTCTGTCGAACATGTACCTGTAATTTTCAAATGTGAATTATATTTTGATAATTAGGAGATCTAGTCATCAAATAAATTTAGCTTGGAATTAAAATTCAATGATAAATATAATATTATATATCTATCTATATATATATATATATATATATATATATAGATAGATAGAATAGATAGAAAGTAAACTTTATTCTGGGACAAGGTCCCTTATGAATAACAGATATGAACAAAAAAATTAAAATTACATCTGGCCAAAAAAACTACATCTGGCCAAAATATATATATATATTGTAATGTCAACATTACATGGCATTTGGATAGTGGCGCAAAGGTGGTGATGGCGCGAACTACGGGAAGAAAGTGGGGGAAACAAGCTTCATGTAAGGCAGAAAGAGACTGCGACGGGCCGCCAGGAGGGAAGGTGCTAGCGGCTAAGAGAGAAGATCATGAGCCGTCAAGAGAAGGAGACAAGCGGCCAAGGGGGAAGGTGCCAGGCAGCAAGTGGAGAAATTAGGAAAAGGAGTCTTAGCCGGTTCGAGTGTTGACAGAGGCCACTAAGGAAGATTATTTTATGTTGGAAGAAAGAATATAGCAGAAATTAATTAAGTGGTACAGAAACATTAAGTGGACAATCGTAAGTAAGAAGAGATTATTTCGCTGGCAGGCGTCAACATTTGGGTGAGTGCTAACAATACCATTTATGTTGACAAAGGGATAGAACCAAAAGTTTAGACCGGGATAAATTATTTAATAAAATATTTTAAATTATAAATAAGTGTAGTAGTAATTAATGAATTAGTGTACATTGTCTTTATAAATAGGAATGAGTGTTCAGGTGTCAGAACCCAACCTTGAGATTATGTTATATGTGTAAAATAAATAAGATATTCAAAAAGGAAACTCGTTTGTTTGTTTTTGTTCCTTTTGAAAACGTTACAATATATATATAAAAGGCCACCAAACTGCTGCTTTTGACAAATCATTCATTATCCGATCCTCATCTCTATGGAATTCTATCCCTTCCTATATCCATCGCTCCAATATTCTCTACACCTTGAAATTCCGCCTGTTCATACATTTTTTTATCCACCCAGTCCCCATAAAATTATAAATAGATATTACTGTAAATATGTATATATATATATATATATTATTAGATTGTTCTTAATTATTTTTAATTCAAGTTTTTCATTTTTTTTCCCCTTGATTGATTAAAGTCAGAAAGCAACTTATACTTTTTATTATGACTATTTATTTACTTTGCGATTATTTTTTATGTATCTTTGAGGCTCCATAGCCCACATTTCTGTCTTTCTGTATTATTCTAAATAGACTTTTCCCAGAATAAATAAAATATTATTATTATTTGAGAAGGAGTTGGCTGGGGGTGAGGTCAAATAAATACTATAAACTATAATAGCATTTTATTAGATACGCCAACGTTTCGACCCACTTTGTAAGGCTTCATCAGGGTGTGGTATCAAGCACTGCAGGAAGCAGTTGGTAGACTGGCAGTCATATATAATATTATTATTATTATATAAATAGGTTTCTAAAATCATTGATGGCAACCATCGATGGCGATTTGGCCATCTCTTTAAGTGATGGGTAAAAACAATTATGAGTAAGAGTAGCAGTTGCAACAGTTTCACCTATTAAAAAAACAACTATTTCAAACCTTATCAAGGTTTGGATATTTAATAGTTGACCATTGCATTATAAAGGAAGGAGGTGGTCAAGAGTGGCGGTCATAAATAGACTAAATAGTGGCAAAGCTATTTTATTAAAAGCCAACGTTTCGATCCGACGTTGCAGGTCTTCTTCAGGGAGATGTGTTCAGCTAGGAGTTTCACTTAGAACTGAGTTGGAACTCAGTTGATCTCCCCCATCAGTTGATCAGTTTGAACTCCCTGAAGTGAACTCAGTTCTAAGTGAAACTTCTAGCTGAACACACCTCTCTGAAGAAGACCTGCAAAGTTGGGTCGAAACATTGGCTTTTAATAAAATAGTTTTGCCAATATTTAGCCGATTTATGCCTGCCACCCCGGACCATCTCCTTCCCTTATCAAGATTCGTAAACTATGACAAGAAAAAAATATTATATATAATAAACTATTGCATTGGGGTTTATACTTGTAATTGCTGATTAAAAAAAAGACAAGTTTCATAGCATAAGCGTTTCAATTTCAACTCATAACATATTAGTTATAAAAGTAATCGGTAAATTTATTATTATTTATATATAAATAGTTATGCAGTTAACTATATGTTGGACAGTTAACTGTACAGCTGTTTATACCTTGCAATAGTGCAATGACCAGTGTTTAATTGAAACAGCAATCGAAACAGTTTAAACATATAGTACAGTTGCTGCAGGGAGCTGTGTCTATATACCTTGCAGAAGACTGTATCTGTACAGCTGTGAAGCTGTTCCGATTGAAACAGTGAACTGTATCTGTTTAATGAAAGAAACTGTTTCAAAATAAATGGATAGCTGCTGAACGCCCAATCACTATTCTCTTTTTTCAACGAACCATTGATTACCCATCGGTTCCATAGCCTTTTTGGGCTTGTTACAAACTCTATATTGTTGTTTCTGTTTTTTCTGAATTTTTTATTATAACTCAAAACTTAGAAATGGAAAAATCTGTGTAATTTTATCCTCTCACACGTTTCTTTATTTTAATATTAAGATTTGACATCTTTGAAAATTGATTTATTTTTAATTTCATTTAATTATTCTCAATCGTCAGACAGTTGTCATTTCTCTGTTCATTGCAGTTATTCTGAGGGGACTAAATGTCCCCTAATAAAATTTACTTTCTTTCTTTCTCCGTTAACTCCTACCTCGCCATTTCTGGCAAAAACGGGGGGTTTATCCTATAAGAACAACTAAACACATTATAACCACAATGGAAAGGTCAAGAATCATTTCTGGCTCCAATATGAAACAAATTTTAAACCGCCCAAGCCGGATTTGAACCGACGCCATTAAACTTGAGAATGTCAATGTTATTTTATGCTAATTGATTGTGTACACAGGCGGATCTACGGGGGAGGGGGGCTTTCGGGCTGAAGCCCCCCCCAAAATGGTAAAATATAACCATGTTTTACAGAAAAAAATATGATAAACTATCTATTAAAGTATTCTTGTTCGCGTAATTACATTTAATAGGACTTCAAGAATCACTTAAACACCATTTCATATAGGCAGTTAATTTTTTCTTTTTTTTTTCAAATTAATTATCGTTATATGTATATATATATATATATATATATATATATATATATATATATATATATATATATATGAAAAAAAAAAAAATCTTTCGGGCTGAAGCCCCACCAAAATTAAATCCTGGATCCGCTAGTGATTGTGTACTATTTATGTTTAAAAAGTCATTGATTTCTGTGACTTCTATGTTCGAAACTACTAGTCGATTTTATATGGAATGAACCCGCAGCAGAATCTTTATCTGGAATGAATAAGTGGGCGTCAGTTTCTAACTACTTTAATCTGAGGGATTATTTTTCTGAAAGGCTCTAAAGATAGAATCCAATTGGAAGCGAATTTTAGTTTAATCCCATTGGTTTTAATACAACGAATTGAAATTACAGAATATTTACCCTCTTTAATTGATTATATAATTCATCATTTACGGAAACAAGAAGTTTTTCGTTTTAGTGCTCTAAGACATTTCGTCAATCGTATTTGTTTATCGAAGTAGGTTGTTCTTTTCCGCTTTAAGTAAACATGTAGTCTCTAATCTCAGCGCAAAGTAAATAAATACTAAGGTTCATATTTCAGTGATGTCATTGACCTAGGCCAGGGGTCTCAAAAAAAGCCACATCAATATCTTCACTAAATTACGCGGTCATGCTTGAGACATCTACAAAGTCCCGCGATCCATGGCTTGTGACGAAAAAAAAATTGTTATAAATGACACTGTAGTCGTGAAATGAGCTTTCTACACTCAGTGTCAAAATATTAGACACGCCCATTAGAATTAAAAGAACTTTTCATGTTTTCTTTATTTTGATGATATTATTTTTTTAAGCACAGTTTAAAGTATAAATTACGGTATTGAAATGGGGGCAATCTTCTCAGATCTTGAGGATTATTTAAATCCAATATCAGTAAATATTGACATTTTGTATGCGTCAAAATGATAGACACAATTGTTGTTTGCTATTTTCTTAATCCTCTAGAGTCACTAGCCAATCCAGGATTTAATTTTTTTTTTTTGGGGGGGGGAAGGAGAGAGGAAGGGAGCTTCAGCCCGAAAGCTTTTTTTTCATAAAAATAACGATAATTACTTTGGAAAAAAGAAAGAAATTAACTACTTATATGGGGTTTAGGGGGCGGGGTGGCCGAATAGGCTAAAGCGTGTGTAACAGCACCGCTAGTTGCCTGGCAACCGGATAACAGAGATTTGAGATGATATAAAAGTACGAGTTCGCGTCCCGGTGCTGGAGGGGATTTTAAATTCCCCGCCCTCACCCCCCGGCCCGGGAAAATCCCGTATAGTCTAAAAGGGGAGGTAGGGAAGAACAAAAAAAAAAAAAAAAAAACTACTTATATGGGGGCGGGGTGGCCGAATATTCTAAAGCGTGTGTAACAGCACCGCTAGTTGCCTGGCAACCGGATAACAGAGATTTGAGATGATATAAAAAGTACGAGTTCGCGTCCCGGTGCCGGAGGGGATTTTAAATTCCCCGCCCTCACCCCCCGGCCCGGGAAAATCCCGTATAGCCTAAAGGCGAGGCAGGGAAGAACAAAAAAAAACCAAAAAAAAAAAACTACTTATATGAAATGGTGTTTAAGTGATTCCTAAAGTCCTTTTAAATGTGATTACACGAATAATAATACTTTAAGAGATAATTTTTTAATATTTTTTTCTGTAAAATGTGGTTATATTTTACCATTTTGGAGGGAGGGGGGGGGGGGCTTCAGCCTCAAAACCCCTTCTCCGTAGATCCGTCCGTATCTAGAGTTGAAATCGTTAAAATATCATTTCTACTTCAGTGCAGTGTTGAATTTGTTTCTAAAATAGACCTAGATATTCCATTTCTCTAGTAATGTCAAAGCAGATGCCTCCCAGTAGAACGATGGGTACCATATGTCTCCCCGTGCCGAATAAACTTCGCGACCGATGAAAAACTCCGCTTGATTCAGCGGGCTATTTCCCTACGTAACGATATATACTATACTGTAACGATTATATACGAAAGGAATTCGATGGCTTAGTGGAGCCCCAAAGCTCAACTTGGATTTTATTTTATTTATTTATTTTTATTTATTTTTTTATTTATATATGTGTTACGGTATTACTTACTTATTATTTATATTGTGAAAGAGTTACTACTTCAGTAGTTTTTAATAATTACTTTATATATAGTGTATGTTTTATGTATGTATATGAATACATTTATGTATTTTTTCTTTTATATTTTTATCGACGCAGCTGCAATTTGTATGTAAATACAATGCTCAGTATATTATAACTTAATGTTAGTATGTTTTTTTATATGATTTTTGGATTCCAATATCCAAGATTAAACGTTACGATGGTGAAGGTAGCACCAAAATAAATTAGAAATTGAGAAAATTGCTGTAAATTTGTTATGTTGGGAAATGTATGAAATATGTATGTACTGCCGAATAAATAAATACTGTAACGATTATATACGAAAGGAATTCGATGGCTTAGTGGAGCCCCAGAGCTCAACTCCCTATGTCCAAATAGGTCTTATTGTAGTCTTGTATATGAGTATTTTGTAAGTGTTGGAGTAGTTGGAAACGTCGAGCGGTTTCTTGTCGTTTCAGTCTGGTATGAGGATTCCAAGTTAGACGTTTGTCTAAGTGGAGTCCAAGGTATCGGATTTGTTCAACAGGGATAAGTGGGGCATTATTAAAGGATATTGTAGGGCAGGAGGACATAGGTTTACGACGAGGGGTAAAGGTGATTTGATGGGATTTAAGTTGCAGCTCTTAAGTTTTGTTTTTTAAATTTAAATTTATGAACATTAAATAGGAGAAAAAAATGTACAATAATTATTATAAAGCTATATTTAGAAAGAGAGTTTTCTTCGTGAAGTAGTTTTATAAAGTAAAATTCGAATGTCCTAGACCATTTTCTATCCCTTCTATTTGATTTGATAGATCTCGCCCTCATCCGCCCACAGCTAGGTTAAATACCCGCATAGCGATCTAAACCAAAGAATGACGTTTTAAAATTACTGTTGGAGTGTCTGAAACTGTTCGGATGTCCAAGTCCTTGTGTAACTAGTCATGTATTACATATAAAGGTGCGGCTGAAATTATATGCAAAAAATTTGTGGTTATTAAGACTTTTTTCACAGTGCCTCATAATTCTATTCCGTAAGTCCATAAAGATTTTATAATTAATTTGTTGACATGTTTTCTCTTCATTGTAGTATGAGTGTTCCATTCAGGCCTTTGTTCAGGTAAAGTCTTAAATAACGCACTTCTTCTGAAGTAGGGATAGGAACATTATTGAAGAAAACCTGTGTACCCTCATTTAGTTAAACAATGAATACACTCTTCGTTTCGTTCATTTTTACTTTCCATCTTGTAGACAAATTAAAAATATCATCAAAATGGTCTTGTATGAAAAGATGTGATAATTGGATTTTGTTGAGTCGTAAGTAGTACCGTATCGTCGGCAAATGTTGCCAGTAGAGTCTGTTCATGTTCTGGTAAGTCTGCTGTGAAAATTTTGAAAAGTAACGGTCCCGCTACAATGCCTTGGTGGTAGTCCAGTCAATGATTGATTATAGAAGGAAATAGTAGGGACACAATTTTGGTTTGTTATTTTCAATAATCAACCATTGTGATCGACCAAAAAATTCAAAAACTTAACCCCCTCTCAAAATTTGAGGTTTCACGTTTCGGGATGCGTAGAATTCGAAAAACGAATAACAATTTTTTTGTCCTTCCGCCGTCCGCGCATTTTCTCCGAAACTACTGGACCGATCTTTTTCAAATTTTGATATAAAATCAGAGGTCACCCGAGGATGATCCTCCTTCATCGGCATTACTATCCGCCTTTTACTTTCAAAATGGCGGCCGAAAAACCTGCATTGCTGTAGATTGTAGCTCCTAAAAGAATGTACAGATTTCAATGAAACTTCGCTAAAGTCATTTTCTTGACGCCCTTTAAATTTATCTATATAACATACTTCAACGAAAAGAAGCTGGAAAAAAAGTTACGAGGGATGGTAAAATTAAATTCCGAATAATTCGAAAAGTTTATACTTTTTTGTTGATATTGTATGTAATTTTTTAAAAGTTTACGAAATTTCCTAAAAAAAAAAAAAAAAAATCGTTAAAATCGGAGAATTATTAACAAAGATATGGTCTCCGGTTTTTTTTATATGTACTACTCCAAATGTTATATCCTTGGTTTGGTTTTTAAATTTTGAATGTGTTACTGATGTAATGCTATTAATTTTTTTAGCATATTACTAATGATTAAAAAAAAAATTAGTCCAATAATTGGAATCACCTTTTGTTTATTTTTCTTTCTTCTGGGACTAAGTTCCCTTCGAATAACTACAATGTACAATTTAATGACAATAGTCTGGCATTGGAAATAAATTAGATTACAAGAATATCTAGATCTAAGGTTACAATAATGAAAAGGCACTGTTAGATATATGAAACCATAGATAAATTCAGATATGCAATTTCACATATCTTTAAACATAAACAATGTGGGTGATATATAATTATCAGTCAGATAACATTAAAGCGATTAACAGATCTGAAAAACATGAACATTAGTTTACACATATTCGGAAGATAAAGCATACTGAGGATATGGATAGATAAATTATGTTTAAATGAGGTCAAGGATGATGATTTCCGTATAGAGGTTGTTAGGGAATTCCAAAACAAGGTAGCACGCATGACAAAGGATTTTTTAAAGGAAACAGTTCTATGAGAAGGAATAAACAGGTTTGAGGGCTAAGATCTCATGTTGATCGAATGAACAAAGGAACAAGGAGTAAACAAATCGAGAATGTAAGAGAGTTTTTTGGTTGAAAAGGTTCGAAAAAGGAATACACCTAGGAAGTATTGCCGTCGGAAGGAGATAAACATAATAAAAGTTCTCACTCCTAGGTAGTGAGCCAGATGTGTGTTTTCGCTTATATCAGGAAAACTATCTATCGTATCGAGATAGACGTTCTATACAAAATTAAAGCTGATAAAATTTGGAATAATATTGTGTATTACTATATTGTAATACATATGCCTTTTTTCGTTACCTCGCCTGGTTTCCAAGATAACCATCTTCAAGAATATATATTATGTTACTGGTTAGTCTTCAAAGGTTCAAAAGTTAAATCAATGATAACTTTATATATCAATTTTGAGAATTCGCAAAAAAAAAAAATTATAATATTCGTTATTATATTATCGCTCTAACTCTCTATTCATCTAAATCTCTGTGTTTCTATATATACATATACATAGATATATACATTTACATACATACAACAATGTATTTTAAAAAAATTATTTTTTTCTGCAAATTCTCGGAATTGACATAGAACGTTATAATTTATCTAACTTTTGAATCTTTTTCCGCTGACTTTAGTACCAGTGATGCGGTTGAGAGAGTAGCGCAGGGTTCTCCTGGAGTTCCCTCGCCTGATTGTATATAGGTATGTATGTGTTTTTTGCTTAGTTTTAACTTTCTTATTTTTAGGTTATTTTATTTTATTATTTATTGTTTATACTTTTGATTATTATTTTGTTTCTATTTATTTTAAATTTTTTGTACATATAGTGTGAATGTTATCCTACCTCACTATAACAAATGTCCAAGAGACACATTGTTGTAATACTCAATAAATAAATTAAAAAAAAAAACTTTTGAACCGTTGAAGATAAACTAATAACATAATATAACGAGTATATTCTAGAAGAAAATTTAATTATTAAAAACATGTTTTGCTATAACTTAATCGTAGAAAGATGCTATCAAGAGTTAGCTAGTCAAATACAGTAAAAACCAGAAGGTAAAATTTGTTTTTCCACAATAGCGATAGTTAAGGACGGATATCTCGGAAAATAAGCGAGATATTAAAAAAAAATACTTAAAAAAATAATTAATGAAAAAATAATTTATATTGCAAATTTTAACAACTTTAATTTTGTATTGAACGTCTTTGCAGATGCGATAGATAGTTTTCCTGATATAAGCGGAAACTCATAAAAAATGACTTTCTAGGCGCTCTCCCCAACATCTGGCTCACCAACATAGGAGTGGGGACTTTTAATATGTTTACCTCCTTACTAGTCCAAACAATGTCCCAAACGCAAAAATGGTGTCCCCGCCATTTCTTTGTATACCACCTTTTCGAGCATTCGTGGGGAACTTGTGCACTTTTATTTTAAATGAAATATTTAATACTAATTTTTGCCTGACTGCTTTACTTACCAGAGAGTCATGACGACGTATGGCGTCCAACACCAAATGAAGGCTGCAACTATGGTAATAGTCATTCTCAACGTTCTCGAACGAGCTCGTTCAATATTGCTCATGTCGCTCCTTCGCAACCTCATTCTACCTCGCACTCTGTCGTTGTCTGTTTCATCCGCTGTAAAAAATAAATAAAAGTTTTTGTTTTTTTTTAAAATAAAAATAAATTTTATTCTGGAAAATTTAGTACTTTAATAATAATAATAACAATGAGCAATACAAGTATCATTTATTGGGGGTAAAATGACAAGAAATAATTAAATTACAACCGTGACGTAACCTTAGAATTAATATAAAGGATAATCATGAGTAAAATAATAAAATTATAGATAAATAAATATCAGTATGTTTACATAAATGTTCTGACAAACAACCTACATGATATATGAACAGTTGCGTAGGATTTGTGATCGATGCCCCAAGATACTGCCATGTCTCTCACCACTACACTGAGTTAAAGTGGCTTTTCCCCTCCATCCGATGACAATATTTCCTAGGTACGTTCCTCTACCAAATCATCAACAACCATCGTCCTTCTTCAGTTCAAATCCTCAGTCCATTCCCTGTCCACAAGATCTCGACCTTCTAACCTTTACATGCCTTCTCACAGATCTGCCTCATTCCAAAATTTCTTTATTGTTCGCTCTGTCAATTTCTGGAATTCCCTCCATATCAAAATTCGACATTCCCCATCCATATCCACATTCAAAACCCTCCTATTCCAATTCCTATCCCAAAAACAGTTAGATAGTTGCTAACCATTCGAGCTGATTTTAATAGAGAATTTAATACATTTTTGTTTTTTAATTCTTTATTATTTTCTTAAAAGTGTATACTGATCTATCAGTGCAAATAGCTTTAAGTGTCTTGTTATAGTATTAATTGTTTTGTATATAGTTTCGTTTGTTTTGTATATAGAATGTTTAACTTATATTTTTTTTTACATTATTTCTTTTTTTCTATTGATTTTATTTTGGCCAGATGTAATCTTTTAATTTTGTTCTATTTTGTTATTCTCAAGGGACTGTGCCCCAGAATAAAGTTATCTATCTATCTATCTAGATAACTGTGAAATAATAGTATAATGAGGGTAACAAACAAAAATTTAATTGTTACATATATTGGGAAGGTTAATTGCTGAGGAGATGGGTGAATAATTGGTGCTTAAAATAAATTGAGATTTTGCGTATGGTGGTGTGTAAGGAATTCCAAGACAATATAGCACTCATTATATAGGATTTTTAAAGGAAGCAGTTCTATGAAAATAAATATATAGGTACGTGGGCTGGAAAATCGTGTTGAGAGAATAGACAGAGGAACAAGAAATATCAAATCAAGAAAGTAAGTTTTTTGGTTAGAAAAGTTTGGAAAATGAATAAACCTTGGAAATATTACCGCCGGAAAACTGAATAGAGACACTTTAAGTCGGAAATCCAATTGATAATCCAAGCCATAATCGAAGTGAGGAAAGATGAGTGAGGAAACTAGGAGTTGGCGAGTTTTCAGGGGCATAAAATCACGAAATCTCAAGAACTGTTTCAGGGTATCAAAAGAATTTCGGATATTTTGGGAAATATGTTTATCCAGGATAGGTATTGATAAAAAAAAAAAAAAAACACACAAAAAAAAAAACAAGTAAGGTGTGTGCTTTAGATCACACGATAGAAATGAAAACAGCAACAAAGCGAGATTAATCCTATATATTATTTCTAAAAGGTGTTTTTTGTCGGTACGCCATAACTTCGTCAATTCTTCATCAAATCCAATGATTGACCTTCCATTTTGAAGGTATTCTTCTCCTTCACATGCGAAAAATAACCCCATCCCCCCGAAATTTATGGGAAAAAAGTTATGGAGGAAAAGAAACTTTATTTGTGAATAACTCAAAAAGTATGCATTTTTTTCTGGATTAGATAGAAAGACTCTGGATAATTAGAAAGATTCTGGATAATTACAAAGGTTACTAAATTACATACAAAAAAAAAATTGTAAAAATCGAACAATTATTAACAAAGATACAGTCCATTAGTTTTGGTATACTTAATAATGTCTTCCTGTTACAAGGTATTGCATTTAGGAATAGAATAGTCTACTAAACTTTTTTCCCTGGTTGATATATTAATTTTATTATTTCTTAAAGACAATTGGTTGTTCTTACATTTTATTTTTTTTAATCGGGTCATTATTTTCCCTTTATTACATTTATTATCTTTCCAGTCAGTGTTTAAAAACAGGTCCTAGCAAAGCAATTTATACAAATATTTTGGTCTATTAAGTTTAATGGAATATTGTAATCGACCAAGGAAAAAATATTAATTCCTTCCTTACAATAATACATACGAACTACTTATTTCCATATAGTTTTGCTATTTTTTCAGTAAACAAAATTTTCTGCGAATTATTCTAGTAATATGAAATATAAATTATAAATAATAGCCCATTATAAAGAGGATCAAATGCTGAACATTTCCCTCGCTTAAAGTATGCAGGTCCGATTTTTAGCTTCTGAGATATTTTAATCCATATGTTCCATAAAGCCCTTTAATTTGGGTGTGCGGAAGCAACTATCCGGGGCTTGCTTAACGCATAAAAATCTTCAAATCCACCTTCATGTCCCGTGTCGACCTACAGACTTACCACCGTTGCAGTATTGAAGCCTTGCAAAATGTTTATATCGACTTTATTTATTTTAAAAAGAAAAGGAAATTCGCTAAACCTCCGTGAAATTCTGAATCCAACGGTACCCCATTCATGGTATTTGAACATGACAGGAACTTATATTTGGTACAAAACCGAGTCTTACTGTAATAATGTGTTGGGATCGGCATAAGACACTTGGAACCATTGAGAATGGATTCAGTCTTCTCAACATTCATGTTCAAATCATTGCTTGCTGTCTGAGCGTTAATAATGTCCATATCTTCTTCTATCGTTCGAGTAGCATGGAAAGAATGGTAAATTTGGAAGTCGTTAGCATATAAGTGGTGTTGTGAATGATAGATGGAATCAGGAAGGTATGGATGGAGAACGGAGTTGGTAAGAGCGAAGATTCCTGAGGAACATCATGCGTTATTAATGGATTTTATTTGGAATGATGACTGTTTGGAATGTCTGATACAAGAAGGAGTGCAACCACTTTAGTGCGCTATTTTGATGTGGAGAAGTTTGGAATTCTTGTTGTAAAATTTGTTAAAAAAAAAAAAGAGTTTGAAGCTAGTTTCCTACCAGTTAATGTCGTCATCAAGCTTCCTTGTTCGATAAATATTTTATTTATTTATAAACTTTGGAGTTGGTTAGCTCAGTATTAGGGTGCTAAAGGTCCCTGGTTCGAATCTCGGCTCATGGCAGAAAAATTATATTATTTTTCATTGGCCTTGGGGCGATCCTGGGTAGGTAGAATCTCCTAGGGCACATCCAGCCTCTATAAAGTGGGTAGCCGTAAATAAAATAATTAATTAAGATGAAAAACCTGGCGGTTGAGCATGATCTCGGTCAAAGCACCTCCTTGCACAACCGTAGACCAAGAAACAGTGCTTTCCCTAAATAGTACTGAACCCAAGACCCTTCATGGGTTTTAGTGGTACAGGTTTATAAACCTCGAACTAAAAGTTTGATATTTACAGATTTAATATTTATTTCTCTGCTGATATGAATAAGTTGATATTGGATTTATGGTGTGAGAAATTCCGGAAATACAGTCACCTTTTATTATCTGTTTTTATTTCGTGAAAGCAGGAAGAGAAATCTACGGAAATAATTCGTAGGAAGAATTTTATGACTAAGATAAAATGTTACACCTCTCCTTGTCATTTCAGGTTTTATCCTCTGTCTATTTTTAAATAAATTATTTTTCTTTATTATTCTTCTATCTATATATTCCTTTATTTTCTATATTCCTTTCCTCTTATTTATTTATATCACCCCATTCCTTTTCTCAGTTTTACATTTTATTCTATGATTATCTCACTTCTTTTTAGCATACTATTACGTAATATTTTAGCAACTATGTCACCCCATTTATTTATTTTTGTCTACATTTACGTTTATTATCTTATACATTCCATAACTTTTCGTTGTAAATTCATTTTTCATGTTACCTTGTTTGATTATGTTTATTTCTTTAGTCCCTACTTTGTTGCCGTTATTATTTATTTCTTAGTTCTCTATTACTGTTATTATTCTAGCTATTTTATTTTACTTTAAGTTTATTCTAACTACATTGTTCAGTCTATATCTTTCACCTTTTTAATTTTAATTACTTATTGTTCAATGTTTATAGTTTCTCATACCTATTGTAATCTGTTTTTTTCTTAGCCCTGAACTTTGGGCCGAAAGGTCGGCAAAAATAAAAAAAAATATATTACTTATTTTTCCTATTTTTTTTTTTTTTTTTTTACTGATCACATCACCCCAACCTTTCTTCTGTTCAATTATTTATTTTCTTCTTCATTGTATACTATAGTCTGTGGTACAGTCCCCCTTTTATTAAATTATTAACATCTGTCTATAATTCTTTGAATAGCTTCATCTTATCGTAACCTAGTAAAGTATTAAAAATGCTGTCAATATGAAAAACGCGAGTGAACCAGTAATCTTAAAATCGCCAGTATTTCCTTAAAAAGCTCTTCCGATAATATTACAATTTACTTTTATGTCGAAGAAATTAAAAAAAATTACAATAAATCGATACCGAATGGTTAAAAATTGATATTAACATATTTTCTTAAAAAGAATTTTCGATAAACCCTATAATCAATCTAAATATTGAATAAATCTCATAAATTAGTCATTATATTTCACTATTATGGTTAATTGTTTAAGGATATAGAATTAAATCAAAACAAAAATTGCCAAGTATAGTAAAAATCCGTTTCAACTATCAGGGTGGGTTTCAAAGTACTGAAAAATTAATGAAACATCTGGTGTGCGCATTAATCTACATTCTCTTACCACTTTCTTTAGTATAGAAATTATTTTTTTGGATAAGTTATTGTAAAAAATCGTTGAAGTGCATATCTAATTAAGTTAAAGCATACAGTTAACGATTGAATCGAGAGCTTTCTATTCTATTACAAAATCGAGA